GGTTCTTGTAAAAAAAAAAAAAAAGGTTACTTGTTAAAAAAAAAAAAAAATTAATACAACAAGCATTTCTTGTAAAAAAATAAAAAAAAAAGTTATTGTCATAAGAAATAAAAGGTTTTTGTCAAAAAAAACAGATCAAAGGTTATACAACAAATATTTATTGTAAAAAAATAAGAGTTTGGATTTGTTATTATTTGTATAATACAATAATTATAAAATGTAAACCAACAAGTTCAATTTCAGTATATAATGTTCTCCACCAATTCGAGATTTTGGTGGCCATTTTTTATCGATTAAAACCATTCTTTATTATAGTCCATCTATGATTATAGATTTCATCCATGATAATTCTATGATTTTTCTTTTGTGTGATGTAAATTTAATAGTCAAAATAAGTTCATATAGAGAAAAAACATCTCAATATTCACATATTGATGAAAACATGAAAATTAATAATGCAGTACCCCGATTTCTTATTGGATTCCTAAAAAACAACATTTATAATGAATTTTAATAATTTTTTTAGATTTTTTTAAAGCGTAATCCAACCGATTCGGCCGATTCCCGATCCGGATCGCCGATTCACCGATCCGGATGGGTTTTTGGGGTGCCCGATCCGGGCCACCAATACGTTTTTTAAACCACTAGTTACAATGCAAGCTTTATGAGGAAGGACTCTGATCATAGATAACACAGTACTGGTCTACACAAGTGTAATATTGAATACTAAATGACGATTGATTTTGTCACTCTGATGAAATGTGAAACATCATATAAATGATATACATAGTTAACATCCCTACACTAACTTACCAAAGCACATTTTCCAGATAAATATCAAACAATTCTTAGGATAATTCGAGTATTTTTAGATGATTACAACATTGTACCAAGTTTGAATCCCACTATTGAACTACCACGAAAAAAGCAAAAAAAGCATGTACGGAGGAAAGGGGGTTCCATCAATATTGAAACCTATTTTATGTGGGATTGCTACTTGGTTAAATTCTTGAAAAGTTTCACACGTAAGAAACTAACCAAGTTATAGACAAAATTACTAGAGCCAAGAATATGGAAGCAAAATTGTGAGTTTCTCACCTCTTGTAAATACTTTACAAAGTTGTCAGGGTAGAAACCTTCAGTCATCATGAAATTATTCCAAAACCCATGTTTTAAAAACCAAACTAGTGGGTCGAATCAGTGACCCAGGCCAGCTTGGAACTGCCTGAGCCGGCTTGCAGCTTTCTGGGTTTCTTTGGTACAGGAAATTTAAAGAAATAAAAGTCGCTAAGAACCAGTGGCATCCCGGGCAAACAGGGGGTCTTGGACCTGGACTGGTACCACACCAGTTCCAAGCCGGCTTGGTGATTTTTAAAACACTGCCATAGTATATGGCCAATTAACCACTCAGATTTAAAATAAATGAATCGTAAAAAAAAAAACCTGCAACAGTTTATAAATAGTGCACCTTCTTTATTGCTAACCACGCTTGGTTCCATCTTCCTTCACCCTCATCACCAGGCCATGGCATCCTCTTGGTTTTCATCTTGCTACTAAGTTCATTGATCTGCCAGAAATAAAGTAGAATGACTTGCTAAAAATCTAATAGCCTTTAAATGATAAATGTCTAATACTGTTAAAAGAAAAAAAAAGATGAATATTAAAAATCAAACATCTTGCCATTTGCAGAAGAGAAGAGTTCACAATTTGTTCATGCTATTCACAATTTAAATTTTAGTACTGGTATTGACCTGATAGCCATACTTTATATCTTTGTCAGTAGGTCATTCCCCAGTAACATTGAATAAATGCACATGCAGTACATCGACAAATTACAAAAGAATGAGAACAACAAAAACTAAGTTCTTCCTACTTGGATAATCTTACCAGGAGATGACAGCAAGCACAAAAAATCCTTATCTAGGGCATGACTTACCTTTAGGACAGTTTCATAACTTGCTAGCAAACCTAGCACTTTTAACTGGTTCCTACACATATATTTGAGTTCCATGCCATAAGTGCAAAACATAAATCAGGTTTCTACCAAAATATTTCATGTGGGGCAAGCAATCATTAGTGTCCCACAACAGAAGTAGATTGAAAAATATGGTGGAAAACTCAGAAAGGCCTCCTATATACATGCGATAATAAAGACGCAGCAGTAATAAAGTTCTTTTACACTTTATATGGTTGTCTAAGAATGATGCACACATTCACCCATTTACAGTAGTCCATTCATAAAAAGCTTAAGCGGGAAGTATTATAAGGATAGGGTGGACTTAAGTACTCAGTATCAGTGCAAATTACCAGTTGAGAAGGAGCTTTCAATTGTAAAATGGTTTGTCTTATGTCATGTAGTTTGGAAAGGTTTCCAGCTGCAACAATTCTGCTTAAAGAAACAACTTGGTTCGCCACATCCTGTCAAACACAACTACAGCTAGTTACTAGAGTCACAACTGTTTATAAACTGAATGGAACATACAGAGCCAATGCAAAACATGTTATGGACAAAAGAACAAGAAGTTTGCATAATAGATTCATATTCTCAGGAAAAATGACATTGACGCTTCATTCAGTAAGGCACACAAAGATTGTAGTAAAGCAATGACCAAGGTATGGAATATAACATGGAAAGGACTTATGTTCAAAAATCATTTTGATAAAATGGTTGCTCAAGACGTACAGACAAAAATTGTAACATATGTAATGAAATGACATATTTCTAAGGGAGCTTACACATTGTACTTGTAAAACCAAGGCATAATTGGTGTGTAAAACCCAGTCAGATTTGACACTCTTAAGGTTTTGTAGTAAAGAGCAAAGAAGAGATCGTAGAAAATGAAAACTGGATTTAGTCACTGTCCATTAGAGTTTCACTGGAATAGATATGAGATATGATTACATGTTTGCCCTCTGTTTATTTTCAGTAATTACATGTGTCTTTTGCTGCAATGACTCCCTCAGTTCTACTATACAAAGTATATTCCACATATTATATATGGTATCTTCCCCTCAAGTTGGTGTATGGATGTCAGGAATTGACAACTTAGAACTAAGCATGTGCATGACGGTCTTTCTCACTACTTTCGTGAAGATAGCAGCTAGCTGATCTTCAGTCTTCATATATGGAGTACAGATGAGCTTAACAGTCATTTTTTCATGGACAAAGTGACAAAATGACCTTAATATGTTCAGTGTGCTCATGGAAATTTGAGTTTGATGCAACGTGTATTGCTGTAGTCATCACAATAAAGTGGGATACATTAGACAACACCAATTTCCATGTCAAAGAGAAGTGCCCTTAATCACATAGGCTCACATGTTGCAGAAGCCCTGACGTGATACTTAACCTTTGTAAATGGATCTGCCCACGACATGCCTTTTTTTACTTTTCCAGATTACCGAATTGCCTCCAACAAAAGTGCACCATCTTGTGGTTGAATCTCTATCAATGTATTTTACAAAGTCAAGCATTGCATTTCGAGAAACCACAGGTCCCTTGTCCGGAGATGGCTTGAGATAGCACAAGATTGTAGTGACAGCATCCATGTGTAGATGGAGGTGCATGCATGCATTGACAAACAAGGCCTGCAATATGAGTGATAACAAGTCTAGTAATAGTCACATAGATGAGCTTTCCAACAAGATATATTACAGATTCTTCCCAAGAAGTACTAGAAATGTCCCAACTTCCTTTTAGGATTTATTGGCAAGCCAATAAGTTTCAATCCAGGTTTCCCAGTTTCCTTAAGTAGATCAAGAACATATTTACTTGAGAAATGAAGATCCCCAAGTGTTGACCGAGCAACCAGAATACCAAGAAAGTTTTTGAGTGAGCCAAAATTCTTAATGTCAAAATTATGCAGCACAAATCACATGCGATTTGCAACTCTCATTGTCATCAACCAACGTAAAGACAATGTCGTCAACATAATTTAGAAATATGTACTCTGAGGTCGCCTTTAACAAACAATGAGAAGTCAACACCACTCGCACGAAACCAAATAGTTTACAAGGCCCTGCTTAACTTATTAAACCATTGCTTTAGGTGATTGTTTAAACCCCTACATTGCTTTACAAGCCAGAAAACAGGACTAGTAGGTGTGGGATCTGAAGGTGTAGGCACAAGATGCATATACACTTATCCTCCAAAATCTAAATCACCATGAAGGGTGGGATTCTTGACACAGCTGATACAAAGATAATTTTGGTTGCTGCAATGACAGCAAAACACGAAAATAACCCATTCTTGCTCTTGGTCCAAATGTTTCAGGGGTAATCTACAACCTAGGTCTGGGTGAATCCTTAAGCTACTAAACAGCCCTATATAATACTTGATTGCGCTTGTAGACACAACAACAAGCAGCAGTCTTCTTGCTAGGAGAAAGATTCACAAGATCCCATATATTGTCTTTTTTCATGTTCGGGTTTGTAGCCTTCAAAGCATGTAAAAATAACAAATATAGTGAACTGCGCACTTCAGTAGGAGTGTATGATTGGTCGACTGACCTAGGATTAGGCAGTCTCTAGCTTGGGTCAATGTCCAAAACCTTTTCCCTAGGCATAGGCACTATCATTGAGGGTTCCCAGTTCAGAGGATTCAGCAGGACTAAAGGATCAGAGTGTGCCACCAGTTCGATAATTAAAGGGTGGGTGTGCTAAGTCCCAAGGGGATAAACCCTAGGCAAAAGTTTAGTAAGTCTTCTCAGTTTTGGTTTATCAGTTATTTTTTTCAGCTTGATTCATAAAATTGTTTAGAAGTCCTAACAGTATTAGGAATCCAATTTGGATTAGGGTTCCTACTTAGACTAGGACTCCTACTTAGGTTGGAATGGCTAATTGTGTTAGAATTCATATTATAAGTTTGAATCACTTTTGGAAGTAAAAGTCAAAGATCCTAGATTGCAGTACGTGTATTTTCTATTTCTACATTGTTTGTGGCAATTGTAAGTAGACATTCTAGTTGTTAATAAAAGAAATAATTTTTTTTGAAATTATACCTCGGAATTCTACATAACCACACCTTTCAGTTCAATGCTTGCATCTCTTTTTCTGTGGCTTCCCACCACTTATGATGTATTACAGCCTCTTGAAATAACCCAGGCTCCAAGTGTGAATCCAAGCAAGAAAAAAATGATAAATGTTAATCAAAGCAAAAAAAAATGATATCGAGAAGGAAGAGAGAGAGAGAGAGAGAGAGAGAGAGAGAGAGAGAGTATACGACAACAATAGTAGTAGTAGAAGTAAGGTAGTAGG